GGGGAGGAGGCAGAGGGGAGAGAGAGGGGCGGGAAGAAGGGAGAAGGGAGCGAGTAGATAGGAGCCCTGCGGGTCTCCGGGGAGCTCTGGGCGGCAGACAAGAAGAGGTCAAGGTGGCAGCTGGTGCTCACCGTGACCGAGCATGAACACGGGGAAGCAGTAGACCTCTGCTACCTCTTTTAAATCCTCTTTGTGTCATGCGGGTGTGATTTTTAAGCCAGGCAGGACCATGGTGCCAGGGTTGGCAGGTTAGGGTCCAGATCAGCAGAGCCTGTGGCAGAGCTGAAGCCCCATAGCTCATACATAAGCTTTCAGTGTAAAAATCGAATTTAACCAGAGTGGACAACCCTTACCTCATGGTTTCATCCCTAGTCTTGGTTTTGCTCCCTTCCTGCAAGCAGTGGGCAGGGGAGAAAGTTGCATCTAGAAGGGACACATTTGTGTGTTAAAGGCTGCAGGAATAGAGAAAGAGGCAGCAACATTTCTGTTTCAGTGAGTAATAATTATGGAGGAGGCAACAGGAAAAGGTGTTGAGCCTTCAGAGTATGAGCCTTTGTGAGCACTCATAAATTTTCACCTGAGTTGCCACTAGGTTCAGATACCTACCCAAAATAACCGGTCCACATGGTGTCTGCAGTAGGAAAGCAGCATCTTTCAAGTGCTGGAAAGTCTCAGGGAATGGGTAGAAGTTACCATGCCTCTTCAGGATCACTGCTGCTGTGCATCAGTCATACACGCAGCAGTCAGGCTATTTCAAGGGGTATCCTTCATTCAGCTTTGCAGAAAGTTGCCTATATACTTCTATGCCTGGCACACTAGCAAAGTAGCTACAGAATATACCTGACCAGTAAGTACTTTAGTATTTCTTAAGTTAGCTGGCCAGTAATACTCATGAGTTTGCTGGCAATCAATAAAGCAAACTAGTGGTTATCAAGGGAATTCCACTGACAGTAGGATCGCAGTCAGTAAGGACTTTATATATATAAGTATATCTACATATATATATATGTACACACACACAGAAAGGTGATGAAAGTGTTGGTACATGTGCTTTTTTTTCTCTCGCCATTCCCTCCATGAATTTTAACCTGCAAGTAGTTTAGCCATATGAGTGACTGCTCCCTTCAAACCCGTTCATATGGGAGTTTGCTCTCTCTCTCTCTCACACACACACAAATCTTAAAGCTAACAGTGCCATCTTCACATATTCCACTTGTTGATTGGCACAAATCGAGTAACCATTTCTTCCCAAGGCACACAAAGTGTCTATGGCTTTGCACTGAGAGAAGGTATCTCCCTACAATAGCAACAATATAAAGGCTAAAAATACCTCATGGGCTTTCAGGAGGGATTTATTTCAAAATTTTAAAATATTGCTAATTAATATACATGGAAATGGGAGATAATAACACCCACTATGCTTGAGTAAAGGCACGTAGAAAGAGCACAAATAATCACACATTCGGTGAGGAAGGACATACAGGCAGAGTGCCAATAGAGACATAAAATGGAAAAGTTTGCGAAGTGTGCTTTGGAGGAAGGTGAAATATTTCATTTTCAACCAAACACGGGCAATAGAGTTGAACCACAAAGCACACAGTACTGCTTGAAGAGCAGTGAGGATGGACAAATGAAGTCTTCAGTCAGAATGCTGCAGACAAAGATGTAGTGCTGAATGGTAGAGCAGCCGGAGGTGTAGGAGTAAGGAAACTGGGTGCCATGTGAACACGCAACAGCTGAATGCAGGGCAGGATCCCAAGGTGGAGTGCACACAGATGTGCATCACATGCTATGTACTTCACTGAGTTATAGTAATTTGGCATAATTTTATTTTAGAAAGTTGTACTGAAGGAGGGAGCAGAGCAGAAGCGTGCTGTGTAGTCTGGTACAGGGTATAAAGCACTTAGATGCACAGGATAGAGCTGTGAAAATACATTGCAGAGACATGTACACCATGGAAGTGAGGTACTGCATACAAGCAATATGGGCTAATGCCAGAGAGTGAGAATTATGTACAGTTAACATGAACCAGAAAGCAAACCTGGTTATTCATTAGCTCTATTGCAAAACATAGATCTGCTGCAGAGATCAGCAAAAGTTCCAGTAAATTTGAAAATGCAGGGAGGAAATAATCTCCCTTAAAGCAGATTTTATCATAACACTTTCCCCATGAACATTTAAAAAAATAATTTAAAAAGAGGGCAGAGAAATGGCTGGACAGATTTAGTTGCTAATTTGCGTGTTATTTGGTGTCATAAAAACCTAAGATTTTTAACATGGTGTCTAAGGAACATTAAGTTTATTTAGTAGCTCTGCTTATCTGCCTATCTTCTTTGTCCTCATCTTTGCCTTTTAAACTTTTCAGCCAATTTCAACCAAATTTTATAATTTTGTGAATATTTGTGGCTTTCACAATGGCACACAAAGTCTCAGGTTGTTGTACATTCAGTCACATGTTAATAAAAAATTGAGCACGGAGCACTGCAGCAATCAGTCAATAGAAGCCATCGGGAATAGGGGGGTTAATTTTGCAAGAGTGAGTCCTGATAAATGCTTAAGGTGACAGAAAAGAGTTCCTGGTAGAGCTTAATGGGAATGAAAAGCTGTAGAACCAGCTGTGAAATAGGATCAGCTTCATAGTCTGGGGGTTGCTGTTGGCGACAAAGGACACAAAAGATACATTCCTCACTTAAAGACATTCTTTATTCAATCTTTTTTATATACAATATTATTTTTAATCTGTAAAAAGTACATATGCAGGATTCCCAAGTCAGAGACAGCCAGCAGGTTCCCATGTCAGAAGATAGACTCTTGCCCTTTTATTAATTTGGAGGAAAAATAATGTGTCCATTTTAGACAAAGAATAAAGGCAGAACGCAAAACCAGCTTCCACAAAGCAAATAGGATTAAAGGCAACAAGCTGAGTGTAACAAGTCAGGCTGCCTCCTAGTTTGGTGGTTCCCAACTTTTCTGGACCATTACAGAGCAGTTTGTTAGAATGGCCTTAAGAGTGGGCACAGCTGATGCTCATCATCTTTGCTACACTTGTACGTACATGAACTTGCAAAAGAGCCTGGGTTCCCTCTTCATGTGGCAACTCAAACTTTACTAAATCAGAATAGCGTTTCTCAAAATTCAAAGACTGAAAGAAGGGTGCCGTATCAGGGATCATAAACAGATCTCTGAACTACCATGTGTATCAACAGCGTGTTTTCATTTTTTTCTCTAGTAATGAGCCTGTTTTTAACTTCTCCCTTTAAAAACACAATATACTTAATAGTGTAGATAACAAAGTCAATTTAATATGAATCTGTTACTACAGCCCTGAGATGTAAACTGCCTCACTGTTTTCTGTGCATGCCAGATGATATTGTTGATCCTTTCAGTGTTAATACTATTAACCACTTCTCCATTCAAACTAGGAAGACTGACATTATGGTTCATAGTATCATTTCCTCAGTGGCAGAGGGGATCCTAAAGGACAGTCAGAGTTCTGCTTAGCTACAAATCAAGACAAGGTAGGTATTTAGTCTTACAGGAAGGTACTGCAAGGAGAGAGTGCCTGATTTTACTTTTCGAGCTCTGGAGACTCAATATTCAAGTCCTGTAAAATATTGGGTGAGAATATGTCAATAAACAGGAAGTAGAAGGGACACTGACAAATCTGGAGTAGGAAGCCAAAGCAGCCTCCAACATGTGAATGACTCAGGGAACTGCGCTATTTGGTTTTCCCAGTACTCCAGGGTGTTTACAATCTTGCATGTTCTTTTTAAGAATTTAAGGATCATGTTGTGCAGCAAAACGAACACTCAGAATACTATTCAAAGGTTTTGTGGCCAAATAGAGGACAAAGTTAAGAAGATGACTTCTTGTCTGCAGGATGCACGCAGCTCCAAGTTGGTTGATGGAAACTGCAGAAATTTGGCTTCTTTGAAAAGTCAAGCTGTAAGTGTTAGAAAAAAACTTTGCTGTTAGCAGATCCTGTCGCACAGGCAAGTTTGAGGCTTGGATTAAGAAAAAATATCCTTGTTTTGAATGCATGCAAAAAGAAAACAGACAACACTGGGATATCCAGACCCTTGCACGAATCCAGGGTGTCAAAAATGTACATGATTTTCTGTTCTTTATTTCATCCTGTAATAAGAAAGAGTAATGTAGAAATTGCTAGAATGCAACAGCTACCTAAAGAATTTGAGGACTGTTTTGTTAGAGAACATAGTGCAAGACTTGGAAACAACTAAGACTAAAAAGTCATCTTGAGCTTAAATTTACACTCTTATCTTCATAAAAGTATGCAAGACAGCAGCAACAGAATGAAAAACTGTACCTTATGTACTCAGAGGGAAAGTGGTCTGGACTTCGGCTTGCACATAACTGCTTTCTGCAGATTAGGATCTACTTTGTGAAGGGCTGAGAAAGAGCGCATTTTACTGCAGTCAAAAGCTTCAATATCCACACCTGGCTACCATGAACACCTTGCTCAGAACCCATTGCCTCCAAACTCAGCTTTCTCTAGGATATCTCAGGATACTGACATTCATGAATGACACAGCAATTAGTCCACAGAATGCATTATTTTTGATACAGACTTTACATATCAGTAGCTGCTGGAGGGAAAGTATGGTTTGCATTTTAAATAGTGACAGAGTAGAGATTGACAAACATTTGGTAACTTGGTAATGTGAAACAAGTGTCCTTTATTTGGTACCTGCTGCACGTCTACACAAAGAAGAAACTGCAGTACTGTACATCTGCACTGAGAAAAACACCATCCATCACCACGAAATGGCTTAGGTCCTCAATTCAAGCATTCTTGTGGCAGTGAGTTAATCCACTGGAATTCATGGAGAAGTTTCATTTTTTTTTTCTGTACTTCAAAACAAGTGACTGAGAGGCAATGATGAGCAGAAGTTTGCCATTTCTCTTTCTGGGACTCCCGAACTCCATCCTTCACCTTTTTCTGAACAGACTGGCAGCCATTCTGACTTGCATATATTGAAAGTGTGTGGATGGTTTGGGGTAAAAGGGGTAGAAGGTGATTTTTTTTTTCTTCCACCTCTCTCTAATGAAGAGTCTGTTTTTCCTTATTCTCCTTTATACCCATAGAGATTCAGTAGAATTAAGGCAATCAAGTGCATTTTAAAACTAATAACAATTCTCAGAGGATGGGAAAAAATCAGTATGAAAACAGTATGTTTCTGAACATTAAAATGGAAAATGATTAGCTCTTCAGCAAGTCATTGAATGCTAATTAGAAAAATAAATTAATGTGGGACCAGTAAGACCATTGTGGGACCATTTATTTTTATTTCTAAGTAAATAATTACTTGAATTGTGATCATCTACTATATCAACTACTTTAACAATTCTCGAATTAGTTGGAAACTACTGCTGTAAATTACAGTAACTGAGTAATTAATGTTAAGGTAAAAATGCTGACATTGGAGTGTTTTCCAAACTTTCTGTCTTCCTACTGTTAATGTGAGGTGACAATCTGGAGAAGATGCATCTAATAACACTTTTTTCTTAGAGCATGTATATCTGAAGTGACATGCCACGCCATTTTTATGTCTAAATACCCAAGAGGACTGAAGACAGGAATTCAGGAAATCCCACTTTAATACAGAGACAGATTTTCTCAGTTGTGCATGTAATTTACATCCACATAAATTATATTTGAAGATGAAAATAACATTTATGTATAAAACTTCCCATATAAACATGGAGAGGAGGAATTTGTTACAGCACTCGGTACCTTTGGAGGTGACGCTATAGTGCTGCAAGTTCATTCAAGGGGGTTATTCCACTAACTTTTAGTATGAAAATACAATCAGAATTTTTAAAAGACTTGACCCGTGCACAAATTAGGAGGGAGAGAGGCACCTCAGTTCTCTTTCAGTAAGGGGGAGGCACCATGGTGAAGGGATCTAGAAACTGTAAACCAAAATAAAAAGAATCATTTGAGCAGTAAGGATTCTGGAACAATGATTAAAAAAGAAAGAAATGAAAATGGGCTTGAAAAAAAATAAACTCCCTTTAATAAATAAAAATTTTAACTGAAGATTGAAGCAGTTTGCCACTTAAATGTCTGGCCTAATCTCAAACTATCTGGACTATCCCAGCCTCATAATACCCAGAGAAAGCAATTGCAGGTAACACAGTATCTCGTTGCTCATAAGCTAATGGAAAAAGGGATTTGATAGCTTCTTTTTTCACTCATAAGTAAGAGATGTTATATTGTTTCCAAAGAAAATGGACTTGCTTTATACTGAAGCAGATGGTGACCCAGATGAAAAAGAGTTTTGTAAATAAAAATCAAATGTTGTTTTAAGTTTCTGTCATACACAGAAGTAAAAAAAGTCAAGATTTCAAATCTGCAAAGAACCCTCTCTGGATAATATCCAAAGAAAAAAAAGATAATTTAGGAAAAATCCCGTTTGTATGCACTAACATAAAGCAACAAAACACTCCTGTTCACTACCCCAAAGGATGCATTTCTAATTGCAATATGCTATATTCTGTCAAATATAACAGACAGGACAAATAAAAGAAATAAAATAAGACTTCTCTGTGAAAAAATCTGTGAGGAAAGGAGGCTTAAGCTTTTTTGTACCCCTGCGATACACTCCACACTCCAAACTGTAGCTTGTCAAATGACCTAAAACCCACCATGCTGCCTGTGAACAACAAACCAAATGCTTATTAGTTGTTTTCTGGGTGTGAGCATGCATGCAGATTTTTTAGCATGCATTTTAAAAGGGAAAATGAGGAGGCAACAATTTTAGAGTCCCCAAGAATGGCTGCCAGTCTGAGTAAAATGATGCTGATTTGAAAATTCAGGCAGGCACAGGGGAAAAAAAAAAAAAAAAAAAGGAAGAAATCCTGATGCTGCTGGTGCAGTGATGCTGCTTTTTGCTGTTCCTTTTTTCATGTCATCCTCAAACAAAAATAACAAAGAAATAAAAGCATTTGGAACCCTCCCCATCTGCAGGGGTGACTGGTGCGTTGTTCCTTGCACTAGCCAACTGCAGCAGTGGTTAGTTCCTTTCCCTGGACAGGAAAGCCTCTTCTTCCTTAGGCTGCTGCATTTATATGAAACAGTAGACTCCAGTTCTTGTTAGAGTTCAAAGTGCAGGTCTCTGTCCTGCAAATACCACACTAGAGTGTTTTGGTCATGTATAAAATGGAACTTTTGTTTTTCATTTTTGCTTATCTATATGTTGAAGAGCTTTGTTTCTCACGCCAGTACTTCACTCAACAGTCAAGATTTATTAACTGTCTGTCTCCTCTCTGGCTTGAAATCTCAAGTGGTCCATGTAAACAAAACAGCTGAAAGTCTGTCTTCCTCTTCTTAGAGCTGTTTTTATCGATAAGCAGGATTTCCTGACAGTGTGGTGTTGGCTAAGTGTAAAACTGGCAGAGGATGAGCTTCTGTGTTAAAAACCCAGTTGTCTAAAGGTAGAAGGTCATCACTGGAGAAAAGCAGATACAAATACCTGGATATCAAGACAGAGATGAAATATGATAGGTATTAAAGGAGAGCAACAGACAGGTGCAACATAGCAACTTCAGGCTCCAACTCTCAACAGCTAAAGCTATAAATAAGCTACTTACTTTCAATCTTTTTACAGCACTTCCCCCCAGAAAAACACACTGCCTTCCAGTTAAAATGATCTGAAGAGTCATTTTTATCATGATCAAGCCTTTCAATGAAAAGGTGCTATGCAGACAGCATGTTAACCTTTCCAAGTAATTTATTCTGTTTTTTCAAGACTCCGTTCAAAGAACTAGTGTGACAGAAACTAAGCACAAAGATTCTGCGGGCAGGGGAGTGCAGAGGAGTCGGCCACTCGTTCAAACACCTGTTTCATTCAAACAGGTGTTTGAATGAGAGAACTCACTTGAAAGCAGCCAATCCTTTTTATTCCAGATCAAAGATTCAGAGCAAGAATGAGAGAAGCCACTAACCTTGACAGACACATAGTTTATCAACGACATGCTGGAAATTGGTTCAGTTTCCGTGGGAGAAAATGGACCAATGTATTGTACAGAGAGCAGCAGCAGAGAGGATTTGAACCTATTACTCATTATAGAAGAAATGAAGCATGTAACAAAGTTAAGGTTCTGGACGTACGTAGAAAATGAGTATTTCTTGGGTCTTATTTCTGAATACGCTTTTGAATGTGTTTGTGCTAGACTTTGAAGGGTGATATTGACAGGCAGAATCTCAATAGCTAGAATTCAAAAGGCATTTCCCTCACCAGAAAACCTGACTGTGGGGCTGCAGGCTTGACATTAGGGATCTACAAAACCTCTGAGCTCCTCTTTCAGCTGGGTTTTTGCTGTCTAGGAAAGCACACGACAAGGGGTGACATTCCCAGTAGTGGCCTCTAATGTGCACACGCATTGCTCTGTCTTCACTCTGCTGATGTTGCTTAGCTCTCTCCAAGTCAGATGCAAAGCTGAGTCTGCATAGTTCTACTTTTTCTTCATTTATTTACCAAGTAACTGCTTGTAGATAAAAATCAGAGGGGTAACTGCCTAAACTCTCATAATTTGCTTTAGGTATCTTATCTTTGATTAATCAGTGTCTGAGCAGCAACAATACATACTTAGGGGAGGCATAAACTTTGAATGTGAGAGGGATAAGGATGCAGAATTTATGATCAGTATAGCAAAAGATAACAGTAGAAGTTCTGTAACAAACCTTTTACATTCTTCTTCTACAGGATATCTCCATCTTTTTCTTAGCAACAAACCCGGCCTTCCTCACTCTATTTTCACAGCCCTCTGAACTATCTTGCTGTCATGTCCTTTATTTTATCTCAAGGTGATATCTGTTCCTGGCTTGGCTATGCCCACTGCATTCAAAGATCTAATCTCTAGCTCTTCAACAAAACTTCATTTTGCTCCACAAGTAGAAAATGATCCAAACCTACTGCCAGTAAAACATTTTGGAGCTCTTCCTCAGAATTTCCTTCTCTTATAATGTTTGCACTACAATATATCCAAATACCATCTGATGAATCAGTGAAATTTAAGATCACCTTGTGACCAATTAAGTTCTAGACAGGATTCTGGCAATATTTTAACAGTCAACCTGTCACTACAGAAGTCCCATAGGAACAGCTTTCATTCTCTGATTTTGCATTTATAGGCAAATGAATCATATAAAATCAGCTCCCTGACAGGTAATGCTTCTCTGACTAGACCTGTTTGAAACTGCTCCCTCTCTCTTTGGGAGTATATCTTTTCAGCTCCAGAAAGCAAATTCAAAGGAATAAATAAAATACAGTTAACGAAGATGGCAGAGAACTGGCAGCAGAGTCTGACCTTCTTTGATTTAATAGGAATATTGAAAAACAAGGTATTGTGACTACTTAGAGGAGTTTATAAAGGGAGCAATAGAAGGACAGAATTACCAAAATGCTCCCTTTATACATGATGAACTCATGAGACCCTTCTTGTCAGTAAAATAGGTTGAGTGGCCTAGAGTAGGCAGCAGTGCTGCTGCTGTCTGAACCATTTTTCTCTCCTCTATAATTTGAACTCCCAACAGCCAAAATCAATCTTCGGAAATCAGTTGCAACTGAAACCTCAAAATCAGCTCTTCTTCAAAACCTGCACACAGTGTTAAACTACCAAATGATTACAACTGTTTCTTCTTCATATCATAAGGTTGGAATGACAGAAAGAGCAGGTTAATGATTCTTAATAGCTGACAGTTTTGTCCAAAAACATATATATCACCTCTTCCATCACATGCTGACAGAAAGTACACAGATATGCAAGCAGAAGCAAAGTTCAAGACTCCCAACAGCAGCCTTTTAGCCTCACTCACACTTCAACAGTGGCTTCTGTCCATGGCAGTAACTTACAAAACATTCTCCAAAATACAATAAAGAGAGAGAAAAAAAGGGTTGGGAATATAGCCAGTTCAAATATTTTTCTTCTAGAAGTGGACAACTGACAAAGGAAGAAATGTGCAAGACAAAATGCCTGTAATGCTTCGCTTTAAACAAAATGTACAACAGAGTGCAATAGTCTCCAAATTGCAGACTAGATAAGTCCTGCAGGTTTGACTGAACTAGAAATATTAAAAAGTTTTTAAAAATCTGAAACATATAAAATTATAAAAGTAGTACAAGTAAATTTAACATATGTTGCATAACAATAATAATAATAAATATTTTAAAATAACTGTAAAAAGGTCTGATATGCTGGCCTACATTAAAAAATATTTTTAAAAAATCAAAAAATAAATTGTGGGATGAACACAAAGAAATCATCCAAGGGCACAGAGGGCTTTTGTTCCATGCCATTTTCCCCCATGTACTGCTTTTTAATGGCACGCACACAGGAGAAATAGGCTCTACAACACCAAAGCATCACAGAAGCACACAATGGTTGAGGCTGGGAGGGACGACTAGAACCATCTAGTCCAACCCCCCTGCTCAAGCAGGACATGTGACACCTAGAGCACATGGCACAGGGTGGCATCCAGGTGGGTCTGGAAGATCTCCAGAGAAGGAGACTCTACAACCTCTCTGGGCAGCCTGTTCCAGGGCTCTGTCATCCTCACAGTAAAGAAGTTCCCTACATTCTCCTCTCAGGTATTTGTACATGTTGATAAGATCCCCTCTCAGTCTTTTCCCCTCCAGGCTAAACAGGCCCAGCTTATTTAGTCTTTCCCCATACAATAGATTCTCTAGTCCCTTAATCAATTGCGTTGCTCTACCACTGGACCATCTTCTAGAAGCTCCATGTCCCTTTTGTGCTGGGGAGCCCAGAACTGCACCCAATACTTCAAGTGCGGCCTCACCAGAGCTGAGTAGAGGGGCAGGATCCTCTCCCTCGACCTGCTGACAGCACTCCTAATGCAGGCCAGGATCCCATTGGCCTTGTTGGCTACGAGGGCACAGTGCTGACTCATGGGTAACTTCTTGTCAACCAGGGCTCCCAAATCCCTCTCCATGGAGGTGCTTTCCAGCAAGTGAACTCCGAATTTGTACTGGTGCCTGGGGTTATTCTTCTGCAGGTGCAGGACCCTGCACTTGTCCTTGTTGAACCTCATGAGATTCCTCTCTGCCCAACTCTCCAACCCATCTAGATCCTTCTGAATGGCAACACATACAGTGGCAGCATAGTATATAGTAACTCATAAACACGCCAAGTCAGTGAACTTAAAATATTGTCTTTTGCAAAGGGATTTTTTTGGAAGAAGATAAAACTTCTTTTGTTGTAATGCCAAATATCAAATGGAGGTCTTAAAAACTAAAGCTCCCTCAACATAAGATACTCCTCCCTCCCATAAGATGGGAGAACCTACTTATATTTTGTGCTGGTAAATGGGCTGACCAGAGGCTGGAAGACAGACTGTGATAGACAACAAATGATTTGTTAAGCCTATGTATTCTTCTAGATTTTAGATGTTTGCTTTTACAGGAAGACTCAAGGGTACAGACAGCTTACTTCAAAGTTTCAGCAAGGAAAAAACTCTGCTGTACATCGTCATATGCAGGAGATGATGAATAGACATCTTTGACCCCAGAAAAGCCGCCGCTGACTCGGCAATACTTGTCAATGGCCTGTAAAGAGGAAAAAAAGATAAATAGCTTATTCATAGAACAAAATTTGAGAACTTGGAAGGGCCATGCTCGATCAGCACAGGCTCATAAGAAACAAAAGAAGGTAACTCTTTCCATGATGCATAGCTGTTTAGAAGAGGAAGCTGGGGATGATAAATGTTTATATTGACCAAAAAAAAAAAAAAAAGAAGGGAAAAAGGTGAAGGGACTCAACAAACACAGATGTAAAACCTCTTAGAGGTTATTAAAGATACCACATTTGCTAGAGGCTAAATTCCAAGCTATTCGCAATTGACTGATACTGATGACTGCACACAGACTCCACTGACTTGTGGTCTAAGTTGAGAAGGCTGCTCATAGGTAACACTGATCAATCAGTCAACCAATGAAACATACTGCGAGAAGTAGAGGAAATGACAAACATATCCCTGGATTTTGCAGCTGAAAGTCTGAGGAGTTGCAGGAACATGTGACTAGTAGTCTGTCATGGGGACTTAATAAAAGGAGGGATAAAATGCTGTATTCATCTTTGACGGTTGTTGATTTTCTCATAAACTCTTCTAGTTGCTTTCTCCCCATATTTCCATCCCCTACCTGTGCTCATCTCTGTTTTCCCTTTCCCAGTTGAAATTCAAATCAGCTTGTATGATGGACTGCAGAGGAACTCTTTATCTTTAAAGCATGCAGCCTAAATCCATAAACCATGGAGAAAGCAGGCCAACTGACCTGCTCCCTTTTGACCCTTTCTATGCTGAAAGGGGCCAATGGGCCTTGTATTTCCAAACCACCCATAATGCCCAAAGGCCAGGAGCTAGTCAGATCCAACATACTAGTGCAAAAAGCACAATGGAAGAGGAGGCTGGAAAGAACATATTAGTAACTCAGAGCATCTCTTGTCTGGGCTTTCACCATTCCATCCACATGCACAATCTTACAGCACACAAGGATATCAGCCATCAGAAACAGTCTCCCTGCAATGACCCTGAAATGATGCACAGGTTATTTGTGGTTCCCTGTTGCTTTGGCAGTTCCTCCTCAGCAGACAGTAACTCTTTTAATAGATTCACTCAGGGACACAAAAGAGACAGTAATAAAGGAAAGTGGCTCAAGATATCTGTCATTATCAACCACTGAACAAAGCTACCTGTAGTTCAGTAATCTATGATTTGGCCCATTAGTCAGTATGAAGTTTCTCTCTGCATGGTGCTTTTGGCCTAAATTTCTGTTAATTCTGATTCCTGCTAGCTATACTCAACAGAAGGTGAGGGGAGTGAAAGCAGGACAGAAAATGGAATTTTAAAGGCTCTCATAAAATGGAATTTTTATGCAGAGAAACAAATTTAGCCAAAATTAACTCATCAATTAACTCCTCGCTGAAGTCTTTTTATACTAGAAATACAGAGAAACAAAAGACAATTTCCCATTGGACACATGCATGAAGCATACTGGCAGATACTTTCGGTGAAATTAGGGGAAAAAAAAAAAAGTAAAACTGCAAATGAGCAAGATAGCTGGAACACTAAGTCACAACATACCAGGTAGTGTCTTCCTCCATGTATATACTTTTATTCTGTGCAAATGTAGGGAAGTGCACAGACTAAAGAATAACACGTTAAGTGTACAGAGTTCATTTAAATTTCTGAAGGTAGAGATCTTTAAATAAGGAAGAGGGGAAACAGGCAAAATCACTTTACTGAAATGCCTGTGGCTGTGGGGCCAGAGCTGAAAGGCAGCCAGAGCCACGAAAGGTAGTCTTGGGTAAAGTCTAATTCCCTATTTCCTTAAGTAGAGCTTTCTCCAAGTTTGGATGGAAACACTCCCTTCTTTGCTGAAACCAAAGTCTAGAAGAAAGCAGAGTCTAGGTGAAATCTTTTCACAAATCTCACTGGTGTAAGCTACAGTTACACTATGAGAAATTTTGAGAAATTTCTCCATGGGGATACAGGCTAAGCCCAGACCAGAGCTCAAGACAAGCAGAGGATTTATCCTAATTGATGAAAAATCTACATGCTCCAGGTGGTAATGAACTGGAGAGGAAAAACCCCACTGATTGTTGCATAGCTGCTCATGCAAATATGGATAAATAAATACGCCCTTATTTCAGAGCTGTACAGAAATTTAGACACTGTCTGAAAAGTTTGGTGCTATAGACAAACTATTTAAAACTGTTTGGAACTTGCAGTATTTTATCTGCACACAAATTTTGAACAGAATGGCTGAGGTTGGTAGGGACTACCATATGATCCCTAGAGATCCCTTCCAATCTCAAACATTCTGCGGAATGTTCAAAATACTTGACATAGGGGCATTTGATTCACCACCTGGCTACTCTCTAAATCAAGAGCTCAGTGCTTGTTTCCTTGACTAAAAGATGCTCATTTTTATTCTACCACAGAATACAGAAAATCCTAGAGGACTAGAAGAAAACTAGGATGGTATTAATGTTAAAAAGCACTAGCAGGCTGATTGGATAATGTTAGGCTGGCATGCCTGATATCAGTACTGTACAGCCATGGAAACATTTACATGTAAAAAGAATACAGGACAGTAAGAAGTTAATACCAAACAGCATAGTTTCATATAAAACAAAAATGATAGCAAGCAAGGATTTCATTCTTTGAGAGCACATACAAACTGGTAAAGATAATTGAAGAGATGTAATAAACTTCAAAGTTTCTAAAGCAACTGACACAGTACCAAAAGACAATTCGATAAGAAAAAAAAAAAGACAGTAAACCATATCAGTATCACTACTTCAATTTAAAACCACCAGAGTTCTAAAAAGGAGCTGGCAATGTAAAATCATCGCTGAATATGGCTGCTCCCCACAGAGATTCACTCAGAGTGCATTTGAAGTTTTATTAACCACTGCAATGATATGCACTAAATGATACAAAATCATCATCAGGTGAAGGCGTAATCACACTGGTCAGTAGGATCTGGTGAACTGAAGCGCAAAGAACATGACTTTGATGTAACCATGAAAGACCCTTAAAAATTCAACAGCCACAAGAAATAACTCAGTATAGGAACTCACTCTAGCTGAGTTCCTACTCGAATGCTGGTACATGCATAGGAATAGTGAACAGAGGTAGGGATGTATTTTTACTTTTGCACAGGGCTGTGGGAAATGTCAAAACTGGAATGCACAGTTCTAAAAATTATTTTTCAAAAAGGATGATGAAGATCTGAGGTGGGTGCAGACATTTGGAGAAAATCTTTTATATTGGAGATACAGTACAATTTGTTTATCAGTAAAAAGTATCAGATACAGTAAAAAGCTGTAAGGTTATTACATTGTATAAAAAAAGACATTTTAATCTAGTATATAAAGTCATAGCAAAATAGTGGTTGTCAACTGAAAATAAACAAATTCAAATGGAAAATAAAGCACAAATTTTTAAAATGTAAGAGACATTTCATTTGAAAGCATTAATGGAGACCAAGATATAAAGACAGGTAGAGAAAAATGAAAAAAATACAGTTCAAAAAACATACTTTGCAGTATAATTTGTGCATTCTTTAACCTAGTACAAACATCCCTCATCTCAACTTGTATCATCTAACGAGCGCCATCAAGAGCTGGTAGATTAGCAAGCATTTGTAGCACAAATGGTGGCAACCAATGGTTACTAATCCACTACTTTTCACAATGCTTTCAAGATAGCAATAATGGATTATGGAATAAAATTATGAGAGAGGGAACCTCTCTGCGAAATAACAATTCATTGTGATAATCTTGTATAACCTATAAGGCAAAATCTTAACCAAGACTAAGACACTATTTTGTAACACTTGGACTTTTCTATGCAATTGTAACTACCCTATGGAAAGCGTGGAATGAGATCACCTAAATGTTCTGAACGTGGAACAGGAAGCCAGCCTTAATTATCTTCACTGTAATTAATAGAGATCTCTCAACAGACCTCTTCTGGCTCCAAGTACTTTTTCTGGGTCTCTTGCCTCTGGATCTAAACAAAACAAAACACCCTGGTGTTGGCCTGCAAATTTCCTCAAAGCTCTTGTTCTCCTCTTGCCCTCATCTCATATACCTGGCTGTAGTAAAAAAATTGCATTAGTGTCTTATCATCTTTAATGATTATTCTCAGCTCCAAGTCCTTGGAGTCGCATTGTGGAAAAAATGCTACATCTACAGCAGGGAAGTGGAAGAGTTGACCTCTAGAGGTCCCTTCCAACCTTAAGCATTCTGTGATTCTGAGTTGTAGTCATCCCTTGACCATAAGGTCTTGAAGAGGGCCAGAAGACTGCTTGACTGGCAAATCAGTTTTGCATGACCTTGAGCCAGACCAGCAGGTTGAAGCAGTGAGATTCCTGAGACCACAGACGGCTCACAGCTCAGCTCTAGAAAGTGTTCAAAATGGATAATCTTTGGGGAATTACATATAATTACAATTAGAATAGCATATTGTCATGTGAAAATGAAGCCTACTTATTCGCGTGGAGTATAATTTATAAATATCAGGCAAAGGAGCTATCCAACTATGTACAAAGGATTAAGGAAGGAAGGCTAAGAACACAGATTTGTGTTCTGAGTCTGCCAAAAATCTGGGTTTTTGCGGATTAGGACAAGCATCTCCAAGAAGAAAAACCCAAGCGCTTTTTTATACTTGCAAATCTGATTCAAATATGCAGTGACCAGATATAAACCCTCCAGAGCAACTATACACGAGGGGCAACAGATTTTAAAATGAGGACATTTTAGTCACAATTTTTAAATTCTGTTCTATGTGCTATTATTTATTTACTTCCCTTTATGCCTTTTACAGTCTAATTCCTGAGCTGCTATTTTTTTTCATTAGAATACACTGAGTCTAAACTGACTGGCAAACTTTTCCTTCCAGTGAAAGCACTAGGATAAGCAAAAGTGATCATACCAGCACATATAAGCAAGTGTGTCTTAACAAGTGAAAACCTAGTCGGGCAAGGTCTTTTAACCTACACTGAGTGCCAAAACACATCATTTACTGAAAACTAATTATAATTCCCTTTCATTTCCCAAGGTAAGTTGCCTCTCCTGGAGGCTGAGGACTACTGATTACAGTAGAAGCCACAACTAGTGGCTATTTTTAGGCCAGAACTTCTCAGCTCTGTAATATTGAACACATCATTGATCTGTGCATCTGTTTCAGCAGCTGCAAAACAGCAGTAAGAGCCCTCAGCCCCACTCACACCCTAGTTTACAGGGATGAAGAAAATCAATTATTATTTAAAGTTTTTCAGTACCACTAGCTTGAAGTGGCTACAGAAGGAAAGAAAAATAAAATTCATTTGCTGATGGCTCATCGATAGTTACCTGTGTTGCCTCCCAGCCCCACTGCCTGTACTTGGGATCATGTGTGAATCTCCACATATACCAGTAAGTCTCAATCACCTCTGGTCTTAGGATGTAATACTTTTCATTCTGTCGTACTGCCACTGCTTCAACGCCACCATCAAATTTGAATGCTTCTGGACCCAGCTTTAATGCTGCAGAGGAAAGACACACACAAAAAAAAGAAAAAAAAAATTCTTACAAAATTTTTGCAGGAAGAGAAGAGAGGAGGTGCAACACAGTTGTACCTTAAGTATGTGAGGAAAGCAGAAACTAGCTTTTATTTAACCACCTTTTATTGAAGCTGTCTCATAAATATTCCCCATTGTTGAGGCTTATATTTTTTCTTATGCATAATCAATCCAATTCTTGTGAGAAAACAACACAGAAATATAGTAATCCTTGCCAGAAATACAGTAATCCTCTTGAAAATTAACAAAATACTAATAATACAAACACATACAAATATATTCAATTATATGGTAAAATTAAAGTGATTGGCATTAGTTCATTATATGAACAAACCAACCAAAAAAAAGAGTCACAGGTTTTAATGTTTTAATGTCCTTGGATTCCACCTAGTTCAATGGAAAAAAAAATCTTAGAACAAGAACAGTGCCATGCCAAATAACCTGCATCTCACGCAAACTCTCTTGGTTTAAGAAAATTAAGTTAGGTTACAACAACTGGAGCACTTTGTAATGTGATCCTCAAATGAATGTAGGCAACAAAAACTTGGCCAGGCCTGAAAATCTTTGAACTAGGAGATTGACCATTTCTGCCTTCTGGTCCTACGCCCGTCTCTGGAAGACTGTATGAAAAAAGAAGGCATCTGTAGAAATACTGTCTATAATATGAAGAGGCAGAGCATGGAGACAGTTTACTTCTGTCTTTAATCACACAGATGCCCATAATTCCTCAGATTTCACATAAATCATGCATTCTAATTACAGCTGCACCCAACCCACTGCTTTAGCAGAAGATTTCTAAGAGGTTGAACTTTCAAGATTTGCTTAATCTTTGAAAAGTATCGAACAGATTAATCATGCAATTCCTATGGGCTAGAGGCTCAAATTAACCATGGTCTCATAAATCTGAAAGGGGAACGTTAGAATATTATAATGGAAAATATAAGCACCACCTATTGTCTGCCCCAGAAGAAAACCTCCAAAAACACTATTTTTTCTTTTCGTTCCAAGAGAGAGTGGTTCTGTACATAAACAGAAAAACAGAGAAACAAAAGAATATGCTTTAGACACACACTTGGTAACGAAAACCCTATCAGGAAATGTCTATGATGTGTATTTGAACATGTATTATATTACCCATTTATATCTTCTGGGAAATATTTCCCAGAAGATTTGGCAAAATCAATGAGATCAGATCCAGATTTCCACCTATCTAAAACTAAGAACATAAGAATAGTCATATTGGGTTGACTGGAAGTTCTATCTAGTCCAATATAATTTCTTCAACAGCAGTCAAAATAAGTTTAGGGAAGAGGAAGAAGCAGATAAGCTCCTCTTTCCAGCTGTTCTATCACTCTCATCAACTGAAGGGTTCTCTAAAACTAAAGTATGTTTTTTACGCAGTCAGTAATTCTTAATGGATTTCTTTTCCAAGTACTTAATTTGGCATTCCCTTACTTGTGCAAAATTTAAGCATCCAACTTAAAACTTTTCACATCTTTACTACCTCTTCTGTGTAGAACTTTTTTTTTTTTTTTGGTTATTTTCTGTTTGATTCATACTAGACTAGTAGCCTCCAGCTCTATGTTGAAGAGCGTGAACAAGTGATTCCCACTCAACCTTTCCAACCCTTTTATATCTTTGCAAACCTCTGCTGTATCCTACCTAAATCAACTCTTTTTCAGCCTGCAGAACACTAGCCACATCAGTTGTTCCTTGCATGGAAGCAGTTCCTTAAGGCCCTCCTCTGCACCTCTTCCAATTCTGCTATATTCTTTTTGAAAAATGAGGACCAATCTGAACATAGCCCTGAAGGTGTGGGCAAGCCATGGATTAATAGCGATATAATCATGCCTTCTATTTTGATCTCTATCCCTTTGTTTTTTTCTGACTGCTACTGAGCTGATATTTTCATAATCTCAAGAGCTCTTTCCTCAGTTGTAATGGTCAGTTAAGAGCTCATCATTTTATATGTCAGGTTAGGCATATTTTTTCTCTAGGTGCCTCACTTTATATTTAACTAAACCTAATTTAATTTTCTAATGTATTGCTCAATTACTCAGCCTTGTAAGGTCCTTCTGCATTTTTTTTTATTTTTCTTTCATCTTTGCTACCCTGAATATTTTTTTCTCATTACTATCATCATCAGCACACTCACCTTTGGGGAAGGGTACCTTCATGCCCTTTTTCTGGTCACTTACGAATATACTAAGCAGATCACCACTATCACCACTGCTAAACCTTCAATTGCGAAAACTATCTATCCCTACTCTATTTGTTAAACTACAAATTCTTCAAAAAAATCTATGCAAGTATTTTAAAATACTACACTATGTGTAATTCCCCTAAAAGTCTTTCATAAAGAACTTCTGAAAAAACCTTTTGGACATCAAGTAATCCATATCGGTTGGATCGCTCTTCTTCCCCACAATAGTTCTATTTCAGGCAGTCTAGTCTAGTGATGCCTCACATACAGAAACTGCTATGCCTTTTGCTTTGAAGAATGCACTTGGACGCAGTCCTGTGCCATGTGCTGTAAGTGACCCTGCATGTGCAGGACGGTTGGACTAGATGATCTCTAGAGGTTCCTTCCAACTTTAACGATTCTATGATTCTATGAAGCATGATGGTGCATTAAATCTTTAACTTCTCATCTACTTCTATCTACTTCTAATGTAGATAGAACACTGTGTGGTGGGCACACCAAGAGATTACACCATGGTATAATCAGAGGACGTGTGAGCCCTGCAGTATGACAATCATCTCACTGAAACCAGGCCTGCAAAATTATCACAGCATGTCATTATTACAGAGATGGTCTAGCTAAGCTCATATAAAACTTGAGGAAGAGACCTTTCAAAATATCTGGAGGGAGGAGGTTTGAGGCTCCCTAAACCACTCCATCAACGTACAAAGTCATTTTATATTTCCTAAGAAAACAAGTAGTATGTCTATCATATGTGCCCATTTAAACTGCTTACTGTGCTCTACTCACACCATGACAGCATCTACTCACACTTTGACAATGCCTCAGCTGAAAGCTCATTCATCTGTTTTTTTCTGCACTGGAATTGCCTCATGTATAAAACCAGCTAACATTGTACCCAGATTCTGATGACACTTCTTGTCAGAAGCTTTAAAGATTTGCAAGGAATTTCTATTATAAAATAATTTGCCTGTGGATGACACTTATTTTACATACTATCATCTAATGACTGGAAAAATTCTTATGTATAAGGGTTTGCATATTTTACTAAAAAACCTATGTGCTGTAAATCAGAATAATTATTGCTATTAATCTAACTTCTATGATTCCTATGAAAGCCAGTTTTTCAGATTAATTTATTACTGGTATTTCTGGCTCAGTTTCATTGAACATCTTTTTTTCATCACCATTTTTTCATTACCGTTCATGAATTTCACATTACTTTTTATTTTATGCCTTTCCCATGTTTCTTACTGATGCACATTAAGGATATAAAAGAGAAAACTAGTATCCTAGTAACTAGACCAGTCCAAGATTTGCACTCAACATGCAAGTTTAAACTTTGATAAACCTTGCACTGTAAGTACACAAAAGTAGAATCTTTTGCCCTTCCCAGTGCCAGCAATATGACTTTTTGTCCTATGCCAGTACTGGGGCATGCACACCAAAGCATGCCCCATATCTTTAGTTACCTCAGTTTCCTCTCCATATAACACAGTATGTTGGACTACACATAAATCTCGAAATCTTCTATCACAGGATTGGGACCTTAGGATAACTGCAGTAATGGTCTAATCAACAGGTTAGAGTACAGAGAAAAAAATGCAGCATGGAAAGCAATAATGTATGGAAATGACATGCCACAATTTTCTGGTTCCAGGTAAACTTTCTGTCTTTGATGGTCAACACGCCCACTCAAATCCTGGGTGATTCCAAGTAGTGTTATGTGCATTCCCAACCGCATGGAAAGCGAAAGAGTTTTGAGGTCTCATGCCAATCAGTTCTACAGATCCTGGAACCAAAACTCCTTTGTGCAGATAGCTAGTTCAAAATCATGCCTGCCCCCACTGCCTTCTCCTTCCCCAGAAGACCATCTTCTTTCAGTCAATGGATTCACTCCACCAGGAATCCAAGGCTTATCTCCTCCTTGGAAAAAAAAAATCTATGGGCATTTCCATATCCTGAGCTTCCAATTCCTGGAGAATGTTGCTATTAATCAGATGATCAATAAAGTGGTTTCAGCGTCCCTGCATAAGCCTCTAACTGATTATGTAGAACGGATACTAATTGTCACTGAGACATAATGTTTATGGAAATAGAGAGGAAATGGTCACAATGACCACACCACTTCTGAGAAGTGATCATCACTGTTGAGCGGACAGCCTCTTGAGAGACAAGATGACTAACTTTAGCATTGAGAGACTGCTATTTGGAGGGAAAGACAATAGAAAAGATATAGCAACATCTAGAGGGATTAAGAAAACTTTTAGTCAGCCATGTAGGTGGCAGCTGCCATGCAGAGAGAGACTACCTTATATTCAGGCCATGCAACTTGGGTTCCTTTAAAAATAACATTCATAGGACAGCAAAGCCTCAGCAATATCAGACATACCACTCAAAGGGTTAAGTCTGGAAGTGATTTGTTCCGAGCAAATTGAAGGGTCTAGACTTAGTTTAGACATCCCTAGATAAAGAAGCCAAAGTCAATCTAAAAGGTGATCATTGTCAAGTTTCTTATCAAAAAATCTGTACAGAAGTCAAGAAACTGTATTTTAAATTGCTACATGTCTACCACAGAACGTAAGTATTTACTGTCTGATGTTTTGACTGACATGTTGAATGAAGTACTCTTAAATTCCAGACACCAAAGTCTTTCTCCTCTTTGAAGAGTAGGGATGATCTCCAACATCACTAACCTGAACTGAGCTTATGTATAAACACATATAAACCCTGTAAGTCCAAAATGGGTTATCATCCTTTCCCACATTTGCGCTTGTGATAAAAAAATTACATCCTAATGCTGACTGGTCCTGACTAAGGCAACAAGCAACTGCCAGTGATAATGGTGCTGAGTCATGAAACAAAAATTGAGTATTGTAGGTGGAGACAGAATATCTTTGTTTGATCTGCAAGACATGCAGGTGCAGAAAGCTTTGGCATCTCTAAGGCAGCCTCACAGATCTGAGATTCATATGTTGGGAGGCGTGACATAGGGTCATGCCAACAACAAACTTTGCAAAAGGTGATGGCATGTTTTAATTTGTGCCACACTTTCAACTGTGTTGAGAAATGTCCAAAAATATTCAGTAAATCCCAAGGAAGCACTATAAGCTTTCAAAGAGATGACAAGGACATATGGATACATCTTCCAGAGGATGAAGGAGTACTCCAAATATGAGGAGAAAGCAGATGTTTGAATAGTGCCCATACTACAACAAATAATGTCAGTGTGTAACATCACTTTTTAAATCTGTGACCAAGTGGCAACTTTTGCTCATTAAATGGAAAAAATAGCTGATTTGCTAATAAGTAAGGAAAGAAGATGGAAGTGTAGGACCATTTTTCACCAATAAGTTTTTTAAAGCTTTCCACCTATCACAGCTGGGGAAGAAGGGTCTAACTGCAGGGGAAAAAAAAAAAAAAACAGATGGCAACAGAATACTTGACAGAAATCAGAGAGGGGACAAGGATTCATATAACCTGTCTGTCTCATCTCAAAAATTTTTGAGGCCATCAGCAAAGCAATGACATCCAGCAGGCCATAGAGATGGTCTTAGATTTGATGACAGTCTGGGTAATCGTATTTCAACAGATGACTTCTCACATTGATTGTGATAACGGCAGTCCAAAATGTAAGCAAAGAAAAAAGACCAAAGAAAAGTCTTGTTTTGCTGAAGAAACATGAAGCCACCACAAATGCTCTGTTGCATACAGAGTGACTGAATTTGCTTAAAGACATAGGGTCATGTATGAGAGAGGGAAGCAACTGAGCAGATGCTGTTACTACTTTAAACATATATGTAAAGCCTTCAGTCACAAAGATCATGGCATAAAATCACCTAAATGTTGAACAGATGTGTCAATTCTCACTGCATGCTAGAGCATTTTGCTGGTACACTGGTAAAAAATGCCCAGAGCAAAAGTACTCAAGTGGAATGTATCTAAAATAACACAGTCCAGATATCTTGGCCCTAAAATAGATTGCAAGAACTTCTCACACTGGAAAGCAAGATTTAAAACCAGAATTTCAGGAAATGTTATTCTATTATATACATGTTAATGGGGTTCTAAGAAGAAATAGAAGCAAATCCAGTATTTAGATTACCTGATACTTGCAATATTATAGATTTTTTTTTTTGAAACAGGCTTTCATACCTCAATATTTGCAATAGGTTGCCTACATTTGGCAATATAATGCCTTCCTTTTCCAGAAATGTTCTGTGAAATTTCATTTCAATTTTGCTGGCCCTCGACCTCTTAAAAAAGCAATTTTTTCTTTTCTCATGTTCCGCCCTTAAGAATATTTGGATAGGAAATATTCATAAAGTAATAATTTCACATTAAAATACAATAAGACTGTACTAATATTTATTATGACTAACCCTTGAAAGAACAGGGGAAAAATAAGCTCTGATTGTTTTACCCGAAGAATGTTCTCTTTCCTGAAGATAAAGTCTAAGCATACGACTGTCTCCTCTGGGGACACTACACAGGGCAGAAGTTCTCCTAAGTCTATAGGAGAGCGAGAAGACCAGATTCTCTCTTTCTGTTGACCGAAACATAAATCTAACAGCTAAACCAGGATGACTATTTGCACCAGAAAGAGAGCCTTTTTCTACAATTAGCTAGTTCTCTCACATAAGCATGAAACTCTGCATGGAATCCTGCTGCTAATGTACAACGAGAGGTCGATATTTGCATATTTATTTTCTTTGAAAAAAACAGTCCAGATAAAAACAATCACATTACTGAGACTGCATGACTGAGCAAAAGACAACTAGGACGCTCCCAATTTAGAGCTGTCTGTACAACTTTCAATCTCTTTCTGGCATGTGCATTATTATACAGTCATTAAGTATGAAATTGAAATTTTTATCTCCCTGGCTTTTGACTTTTTTAGGGTACAGAATAAACACAAAGAAATAAAATTACTCCTGCATAAACAACAGTAAATACAGTATTTCTTAAATGTCTGAACTAAATTTTGATCTTTTCCATAAAGCATCCTAATATTACTTTTGCTTCCTTTTTATGATGCTGCTAAACAGGTGAAGGTATACCTCAAAAACCAAGAAACTAATTCTTTGGAATTAGAGGCAATGTTACACTGTTATTATACAATCCTTGCATAAACACAGGAATCCTCTGTCCTTGAGAGCTAAAGCTACTTTGAGTTTTAGCTCTCAGTACCTCTACTAGAAAGTTATTTCAGAAGCTCATTTCTCTAATGGCTACACAAAGCCCTTCTATTTTCCAATCTACAGTTATTCACAGCTAGCTTACAAATTCTTGCCCTTAGTACAACTTTGCTGTTTATTATCTTAAAACAGCCTGTTTCTTCTTCAGTGCTTATCCTCTGACATGAATAGCAAATTTACCCCCTTCTTCAACACTACACTTCTAGTCTGAGCAGGCCAACCTCTCTTAATTTCCCACTATAAGATAAAAGCTCATTACTTTAATCATTTTTTTGGTTCTTTTCTGTATTTTTTTTTGTTTGGAATTCAGATTAGCACACACAACATCCTGGATGACAAATTATATGTGTCTCCTATGGTAGTGTTAATATTCTCTTATCTCTATTGAAAATACCCAGCTGATATAGATTAGGACTGCACTGACATTTTTAAAAGCCATGTGAAATTGCTTCATCATCCCAAAAGCAAAGTATATTCTCAGATCTTTTTCTTCCTCCGTTCTCCAACTAACAAACGTGCAGTTTAAAGAAAAGAGACTTGCCTTTTTCTCTGTTAAAAACATTATTTCTGACAGTCAAGGTCGCAAGGTCTTCCTGCTTACTATTCACAGAGTGATCTGATTTAATAATGCCTTCTGACTTTGCAGCCAAAGTAAGCGTACTCAGCACACTCAAACTTTATGTACCAAGGTCAACACTAAAGATACAAAATAGGCCTTGTCCAAAAAAACGTGAACTTGAGAAATTTGCAGCCCAGGAGTAAAGCCTGACATTGCTTCTTTCTTAATCAGGTCTTTGGCCAATTCGCAATTCACATACTAATTTCTGTCTTTTCCTAGTTTAATTGCACATTGTATTCACCCAGAATACACTACTACTAAAAAGAGTATAAATTGTGTTTACAAATCTCTCACCCCACATAACTGTAAGAACAGTATATGTCAGTTGAACAGCTGAAATGAAAAATTGACATGTTTATCTGGAAAGACAAGAGTATACGTTTCTCTCCTTCCTGTACCCACAGTGTATTTCAGTTGACAGATGCAGTCGTAAGGATAAACACCAGGGAAGGAACTATGTAAAGTCTGGTTCTTCAACTACTCACCGTAACGTAAATCAGAAGTGAATACTTGGAAGTGAGGAAAATTGTGCTTATATAAAAACAGGGCAGGGGAGACAAGAAATCGGTCCATTACAAACCTTTTAAATAATTCCATCAATTTCTATATTTCAACTACTGAAACAGCCAGATTAGCAAAGTGTCTTACTTGTCCTATCATATGATTCATGACATGTATGTGCAATTTCAGCTCCAAGTTGCAAATAATGTCCAGCTTTATCATCTCTGGAACCATCTGCTCCAAGGGCAAACATTCCTCCTGCAAAACAGGTCAAATGGCCCATCTTTCTTTCAAGGTGCCCATTCTTCCATTCTCCAATGAAAGTCAGTCCTCCATTGGACTTCCTGATGAGATGTTTTTCTATGGCCTACAAGAAGATTGAGAGAACTTTCAAATAGTGTTTGAAACATAAATCTTACACGTTAACTCTTCCTCAAAGAATAAAGTACTGTCTTCAAAACCAAAATTTTATTCTTCTCCCATATTTATTTCTGAGCGGCACAGGAACAAACAGCTACATTACAATAATTTCAATGTACTCCACAAAATATCCTAAATGCTTAATTGTGCTAATTAGATCTTTTATACTAAAGTCACAACATAAATAACATTGCAATTTTATCTAAGAATTTAGCTACAAAGCACACACTATATGAATTAAACGGCTGTTTGCCTACATGCTAAGTCTGAGAAGTATCTATTTGTTCTACTGTACTATTTCTGCGTACTCAAAAAGTATACCCATTTCAGTCAGCAACATATGTTAAGGCAACACCTGTGTGCTCAGCCTTTAGCAGAACAAGAGAGAAATGCTCCAGCGCCGCAGCAGCTTTATAAACTCTCAAAGGAGAGCTAAGGGTCAGGGCAACCGCGCACAAAAAGCACCATTACTTTATAGGCTAACTGCTACTTTTCCTTTGCACAATTGTGGTGATATATCTGCTGCTTGGGATGTGTAACTGGTATTCTTCCAGCAGTGGAAAAGAAAGCAGCTGACCTATCCTCCCAAAGTTTGCAAACCACATGAAGAAGCGCATTTATATTAGCCTCTTCCAGAGAGGGTCACAACCTCCCCATACCTATTGAGCATTAGATAGTTTCTCTTATTGTGTACCTAGAATCTTTCCTGTTACAGTCAGAGTCCATTATGATTATCATATTTATCACAAAGACATTATTCCCATCTTCCTCCTAGAAATCTTTTTTTGTACTTCAGCACATAACTATTTAAGGGGTTCCCATTTTCCTTAAAGTGCAGCACCTATTACTGGTCAGAGTACTCCAACACTGACTGAAACTGAGTATGAAAAAGGGATAAATAGCATTTATTGCTCTTTTTCCCATCCACAGGATCTATTAGAGAAGTGAATTACTTCTCCTCTCCATTATTTTTCAGGTGTCAACAACAAATTGCACCCCAGAACAGAAGGAGCACAACTGTATTTTGCACTAACGGTACTAACGTAGATATACTGAGAACACCCAGCCAGAAAATCTCGCACAACCTGAGATGGGGAGGTCACATCCTTTGGGCCTTTGCTATCTACCCAGATGGCCACAATACAGACTCAAATAATATACAAATTAATTGGTATGCAACTTATAATTCACATGGACAGTGAAATAGCTTTTCCTTCTACGTAAAAAATTGGGGCTATCTTTTGTCTTTGTGACAATGAAATGGACAAATGAATGCCTTAGAGTTTGTTTTTGTGACAGCCTAGATTAATGCTTTTTTCTTTTTAAGCTGGTTCTGTGGTAACCTAAGGCTGTTAAAAAAAGCTTTATTGAATCCAGGCACATTTGATAACAGGAAAATCCTCTAACCCAGATACTGAGATACCATCTGACATCCTACCCTAGTTTTCTTGAACAGTCAATATTGCCTTAGTTATTATTGAGCAAACAAAATTCTTGGAAGTATAGCTAGAAAAGGCACAGTTTTGAGGATCTGAAAACTCACCTAGGGAAGATGGTAATATAAATTGTAATTTTAAATACTCTCCTGTGTAATTTGCTTTCTGAATAGGTCACTGACATTACATACTGCAGTGTTTGCAGAAATTTTTCTGAATGGTTGTAACAAGAAGAATTGATCTCAGCTGCGTAGCCAGGGACAAGCTTGTAGAGCCTGTAAGACCAAGGTGACTGTACCCACTAGAAGCCAATGCAGTGGATTACAGGAAGAGGCCTGTACTGATATCAGCAGGAGCCTGTGCTTTGCTTTTACTCTAGACTGCATCATCATTTTGATGGTAAAGTTTTTCTGCCATCCTCTGTTGAGTCTGTGCATGCTAAGGGTATGACAGGGAAGTGCTCGTCTGTATTGTCATTGGGTTTACTTCCTCACTAATTCCACCGTTTTGGAAAGTGCTGAAGTCTGTGTTTATTGCATGATCCACTGAGGAGAGCAGAGATAAGTGATAAACCAGAAACAAGGATATCTCTAACAGCTGCCAAAGTGGCTGTGTAATAATCACGCAAATTGATACTGAAGTCTGCTACGGTATCATGGCCTTTGCTGCTCGGGAGTCCAAGGTGGCTAACAGCACAAGCCTCATTGGTCCTGAAAGTACCTGTGTAGAAAAGATTGGTACTGCTGAAAATTATGCCACTGAAGATGACGCTGAAATCTGAAGCATGAGCTCTCTTGATTCAATTATCCTAGACTATGACAGATTTGACATAACAAAAATGAGTTTTTTATCACATGGCAGATACAATTTGAGCAGCCCTTTTTAGAGCAAAGTGTCTTTTTATTATTAGGAGCAAAAGCACTTAAAAAGGTTTGGATTATTTACTGAAGGAAAGCTTTTTTTTTTTGTCTGAAAGGTGTATAGAACTCCCCTCTCTTTTGAATTATAGCCTGCCTTTCTGTGATTTCATAACTGTTGAGTATCAAATAGCTGCAGGAACAGTTTCAGGTGTGCAAAATTATGGTTGACACTAGTAAAACCAGCAAAAGCCAAATTTATTTGTTTCACCATTCCTTTACTCTGTACTTTCAGAATATTATTGGAGAATACTGTCTAGCTGCAGTGCCCCTTTTCTGAACAGAGAATATATCTTCTGCACTTGAACATCACTGCCTTGTATATGGATAGTTTTTGAAATCTGGAAAATTAAGTTCTAACAGCTTGTTAATAACTAAGTGCCATCTTAAAAAGGAGAAAAGGTAGAATACTCAAAAAAAAAAAAGCAAGTGTAACCCCCTCAAAATACTATATTATTTAATAACCTATTGCTTGCTAACTATATAAAACCAGATAGTTAATATTTACAGCAATTAAGAGGGAATGGCTGGACATTGCTGGGAATACTGTTCCTAGCAGAAAAGAAAAATTCAAGGAGGTTGAAGTAGACCTGACATTGGTATCCTAGGCTTGACCCATGCTGTCACAAAGCACTCTATTAGGTACTATAAAGCAATGGCGTTCAGCTTGACCACAGATATATATACACTGAAGTAGGCACATATACTTAAGCTCATAAAGAAAACAATCATTTCTCATCATGAAAACAAATAATGAAATTAATTGATGGAACAACAGCTCTGATAGCCTGCAGAATGTCAGAAACAAATCTGAGACATGCAAACAGCATGTTCTTCTTTATCTGACCTTCATACTTTCCATGATTCTATGACTCCAAAACAAACAAACAAAAACAAACAGTAGCAGTACTTGCTGTGTTGTAATAGTCAAATACACTGCTGAATCCTTCCATTAGCTATCTAATACTCTGCAGAAGCAAAGAGTGGAGATAAATTTGTGAATCTGACAGATTAGACTTCTCAGAAACCAAGGTAGCAGCCAAGAACTTGAGAGGAATAAGCCATAGGAGTCACTTAACCACAAGAATAAAGGAGACATCCACACTTCCAGCTGATATGAGAAGAAAAGACACAAAAAAAAGGGCTGGCCAAACAGCACTACAAGAGTTCAGCATGACAACACCGGAAGCAAAGCAAGAGGCCCATCCTCAATACTAACCACTACATAAAAAAATCTCAACAAGTTTTATATCTGGCTCTTAGCTGCAGCGGTAAGTCTACATATTGAGACATGGAAGAGAAATGCACTTCACAGCAGATCACTACACTAATGTCATAGGAGCATTTTGAGGTTATGGATGTAGAATATGTTTGTATTCTTGTTGAAGTAGATAGTGGCCTGGCTAAGACTTGTATGACATAGGTTGGAAATTAGGACATCTGAGAAATAGATGCTGTCCTCTTCCCTCCTCTTAAAATTTTCAAGGGATGGGATATCACAACCTACTGCAAGACTTAAGAGTGAGAGTGTGATAGTGGTATCTTCCGCTCTTCCCCTGGTAAAAGCTACAGGAATGAGGTGTGGCTGAACAGATAATATTTTTAGATTGGTGTATGCTGAGAACATTTCCAGTTCTGTGCTATGAGAGGGAAGAAAGTGTATTTACCGCCTTTCCCTTCTGCTTGCATAAATAACATAAAGAGCTTTTGCTCAAAGTTCTCAAAAACAAAGAATATCAGCTGTAAAGGGAGACCCAAGTTACGAGCACACTAAAAGAACAGTACAAAAATGGGCTTTTAAAAATATTTGGGGTTTTCAATTCAAAAATTTAGAATGCAATTAAATATAAGCAAATCTTACTTATTGTTTTACACATATCTTCCAATGTCAAGTAGGATTTGGGATAAAAAAAAACATTCGGGGGCAGAAGGATGTTCTAGAATGTGTAAATCAGCATGGCTCATGTAGGCTGATATGTCCATGGAGGGTTTAGGTGGGAGAAAGCCAAAGAAGAGACCATCCGATGCTTGCACTCCATGTCTTATCCTATTGAGAATGGGAGTAACTCAGCTCCCTTCTCCCTCATATCCACACAGTGTCTCCTTCTGGTCCCATTTAAAGGCAGAGATTTACCCACTCAAAATTGTTTGCAAGACTAGGCTTGCAAGGCGCGGAAAGAAAGCAAAACTTTATATTCTCTAACATTTAAGTGCTCACAATTTAAGAACTAGACAGAATATTTCAACAATAAATATAAAGTATGTTAAATAACTGCTATATAAACATTTTAAAAACCCATAATACCCAATAAATTGTATCAAAGACTATAGCTCTCCAAATAGTGTTGTTGACTTCTAACAAAGCCTGGAAAACTAAGGAAGTGCAAAATGACTGTGAAACAGTTGATGCTGTAACAGTATTTTAAAAGGTTACTGGAACAATCAAAATTAAATAAGCGAATTTAAAATTAAATATGAGTGACAAGGGTACTCTGTATGCTTATATTTCTATAAGGAATTTCCTTCCTATTGTACTATAACAAAATATTTGTCGTAAAGCAAGTTCACATGAAGTGGATTAAAAGCTGGCTCACTGTAAGAGTTGGAAGTAAAATAAAAAAATGTGAAAAATCCCCATTCCATGAAGATTTTGCAAAGACATTTTTATTCTGTGCTACGCAGCATTTCTATCAATGATCTGCAAGAAAAAAATGCTAATAAATTTTGTAAGTGACAAAAATTGATGGAGCTATTGATAATGATAAAGGAAAAGTCAGTCCTGTAAAATCACTCAGAACAAGTTATAAAATGTGTTTTACATGAACAATTGTCTTTTAATAGAGATAAGTCAAGGTCATACAGCAAGGAATCAGGAATATAAGTCATAGTAGTCAGACAGTGGTAAATCAAAAAGATTATGACTTCAGAGGATAACTAAAAAATAGATGATAGTGCAATGCCAAGGTAAAAAGTGCAAATACAACTCCTTAGTGTGAAGGGAGGAACATACTGAGAGCAATCAGGAGATGACACATTACAGCATTAACAGAACCATTAGAGAAACAAAGTATTCAAGCCTTGTCTTCACATTGAAGATATAGGGAAGAATTTAAGAACAGCTTAAAAATAATTCAAAATCTGAAAGAATCATTTTATACTGTGACACAAAAGAAATAATCTATTTCTGTTTCGGAAAAAGTACGTTAGCTGCTTATCAGACCTCTGTTAGTAACTATCTATATGATGCAGTAACCTCTTAAAAGCAACAGCTCTTTAATGCGGAAAAGGAAAAATCCAATCATCTGGAAGCCAAAGCCATTCAAATTCAGTCACAAATAAGATCTATCACAGTTTCAAAACATTATGGTCTAGAAATTTCTTTTTATATATATATAGTATATACATATTTTGAGACCTCCAAGAACAGGCATTTTTGCTTTAGGAGACTGATATAAACTTGCACCAAAATTAAGCTTTAGAAGTTTGCTTTCAGAGAAACAGGCATGAATATAGCATGGAACCAGGTGGAACCAAGTGTGCATCTGCATTCAGACAGGATTACACAATCTCTGCCCTACTGCTGTTGGTACTAGACTAGACTAAAACTAGCTTATTACTCTTCTCATATGCTAAAGTCTTAACTGTAGCATAGACATATGGGTGCAAGGGATCCTGAGGACAGAGGATGGCCAGGGAGGGTTGGGAATGGGGCGAGGAACTAAGAAATCAACAGTGGGCAGCATAAAACTCAGATAGGCACTTGGCCAAATGTGGTATAAAACATCTGAATGTGTTAGAATAATTTAAAGAATAAGACATTTCAAAAACTCCACTCCTAGAATAATTCTGAACACTGGCTAAAAATGAATGGACAGTTTGGCATATCTTTGTATCTCTATGTTATATCCATTTGGAGAAGTTATTTTTAGCACAATAATCTGCATCACAATAACACTTTTTAAAGTACTCAAGTTAAACTAGCCATGTTCATCACTTGATTTCTTGAAACTTACATAATCAAAACAAGTCCTGTGTCTTTTTTCCCCCCCCACTCATCAAAGATGTTTTTTTAAGTTCCACTATGTTGGAAAACCCAATGAATTATAATCACCTCAATTGCGTCATCATACATTTTTCTTGCCTCCGTGTCCGTCTTCTCTGACATAAGCCAGGCTTTCAATAAATATTCATAAAAACTGTCTCCCAGTCCACCCACAGACGTGTGATCTGCAGAAGAGAAAGAGCGGAAAAAATACTGAAGTTATTACATAATTTGTAATTTAATGTAGTTCAATAATTTGACAGTTTTAAGATTCACCATTGTAAAAATATCTGTCTTCTAAGCCTGTTTAGTATGACAAAGCTGTACCGTGTGCCCTCCAAACTTACTTCACATGCTTGGAACCTGTACCCCAGCAGGCAGGCCCATTTTCCTGCTGCACATTTTCATTATTTGTCATTCTGCTTTGTTTGTACAATAAGGATGTCTCTCACATCATAAATTTGATTTAAGCTATGCATTTACTTCATGTCACAGATTTTTTTTTTTTTTTGCTGCTGTTTTCTGGGTTTTTGTTTTGCACTAGATTCCAGCTCCAAATGAACTACATCATTCAATACATCGTTTCCTTTTTGGCTTTTTTTTTTTTTTTTCCTTCCAAAAGTCACCTTTTGCAAGTAGTGTCGTTGTTACCCTGTACTGACAGACAAGAGAACTATCTGTGTTTTCTGTTTGGGTGACTGATACATTCACATCCAAAACCTACTACTGATGCCTGATGCAGTCCTAGCGCCCCTCTTCCAACTAAAGGTAAGCGCTCCTTCAGCACACACTTCTTTCAAAATGTACTATAGTCTCTTAAACTTACTGGTCTCTCTGACCATGAAAGCACATCAACCTTCCTAGAATTACAGCCCAAAGCACTGGCACCAGAACAATCAGCCTGCTGAATGCAGGCAAAGGAAATGGTTAAGATCAATTCTGTGAAAATGTCCAGAAATTCATTGCCCCAAGCATAGTGGTTAGTCATAAAACTTCATTTTATTTTCTGGTGGAAAAAAAGGTATGATACTTCCTTTTTCAAGGTTCCTCAAAAAAGTGATATTATCCATAGCCTTTCTGTGATGAAGGTGTAAAAGGGAGAATGCCAAAGGATTTCTAAGCACAGAGCAGGAGCAGTGGAAAGCCTTTAGCTTTGCCATTGTTTCCAGGTCGCAAATTTGGAGGAAATAACGCTCATATCCTCTTCCTACACCCCCAGAATCTCTTAGACAGCCTTGTCAAACGCAGGTAGTCAGTGATTTAAGTCCATGTAAGGAGCTTTCAAGTATGTTCTGATTTTTACCTGCGAGAGGGCACTCAGGTCTCGAGTCATTTCCTTTTACAACTGCTAGAGCTAGAAGTTATTCTTTCAATGAACAATCACATTCTCACATAAACACATGAACTGAGTCCATATTTTTTTGGGGAAAAAAATCATCACAATGAGCAGAATACACAAATTTGTGTATTTACAAATAAGGGGATTCCCCCACAGCCTGGCTGAAGAGCAGGACAAAGGGAGGAGGGAGACTGAGCAAAGCCATGAATGAGTGGGACAAAAGAGCATATGCCAAGAGTTGGGGGCCTTTACAAACAAGGGAAATAAGGGAATTCCCCCACATTCTTCAGCAAGGGGGACAAAGGAGTCAGGTGACCTCAGGTGGGAGCAAGCTATTGTGTGGAAAATCCTCTGTCTCCTTTTTGGACATTCGGTTCTTGACAGCAAGATTTTCCGCACAACAAGACTACAACTCATGTCAACACTAAAAGTCTTCACAACAGATACAGTTTAAACTTTTTCTGTTAAGCTGCTGTCTCCTCCCTAATTGCATTCTGTCACTTTAGGCAGAGACTACTATCAGCATTACACTGAAATGCAAGAGGCCTTTCAAAGGTACATCCAGTTCCCAACCAGGATGGAGTTGCTAAGCTGCATGCTTGCAGCGGCTCCAGCTTGCTTCAGAACATGGAAGAGCAGAAGAATGAGTGAAAAAGGCACATTTATTAAAATAAGTCATCCATGCTTCAGGTGAATTTCTAAAGTCAATTATTAGAAAAACTATTGCACTTCTTCAGTCATTCAAAAACTGCATTTCTCACCTGTCGGCAGCTCTTTTCCTCCCCTACATTCCTTTCTGTTTTAGATGAAAGTACACGGAAAAAAAGGAACTGGTAGCACTGAGACACACATGACTCAGATGCATCCTCTTGACAGCCTTTTCTGTACCTACATGTGCAAGCCTTTCAGAGGTGCATATTCTCTTCCCATTCAGCAAGCAAGAAGCAAACATGACAGTGCTCGAGGGCTTCTGAAGTCCTTGCAGGTGTTGGCTGCATCATGTCTTTTTTTTTTTTTTTTTTCTTCTCTCTATTTCACCTGCCTTCTTCCACCTCCTGAACTACTGGGAGGTCTCATGTCTCCTCAATCATTAAACACTGAGCACCCCACTCTTCAGTTGCTACCCTCCACAGACAGAGCACAGGGTAGACATGTCAGGGTAAACTGATTCAGGTCATTCTCTTTAGTAGCAGAAAAGGAAATGATGAAACTTTTTTTTGCGGGGAGGGGAGGAGAGGGTGGCCACAATTCTGGGAGAACACAGACATCATGGACCAAGACTGTTCACACCAGAAGGAGACAGTATTTCAATGGACCTTAGTGCATTTATGCTCTGATCCAGATGCATCCTTTTTCACTCCCTGACTACTTTCCCAGAAGAAAGAAGTCAGGCCATAATGAGGTGACAGCAGAAGCTGAACTGAGGCTTAAGCATGGCAAGTTTCCAACTTCTGCAGCTGTATTAACTACATCTCTGGCAGTACCTTCTTCAGGTGTTCTAGGTCCAGGACATGTTGCTAAAGCAGGATTTGTTGCAATCTGTTTAGGGACTACAGTCACAAGTAACTGAAATGTAAATACTTTTAGTAACAGCTTGCAGGATTTTGATAGTGAGCAGAATAGACAAGTTTGTATATTCACAAATAAGGGGATTCCCCCAGTCTGGCAGAAGAGCAGGACAAAAGGAGGGGGGGAAACTGAGCGGAGCCATGAGTGAGTGGGAAAAAAAAGAGCATATGCCAAGAAGGAAACTGCTCCCCTTCTTCAGCAGTGAGGAAGAGAGGGCAGATGGAAGGAGGCAGGGAGTTTGGTGCAGCTGGGCCAGGAAGGCTGTAACTTCTGAGTACCTTGGTCAATGGGGAAAAGGAGAGGGCATCCCTCAGTCAGGAAATTAGGATAAAAGGGGGGCTGCGTCCTCCAGCACTTTGAGACACCTCACAGGGATATGCTCAGTGGACTCTCCCTTTATATGAATAAAGTTTTAGGACTCCTCTCATTCCTTTTTGGACATTCAGTTCTTGACCGCGAGATTTTCCACACAATAGCTTGCTCCCACCTAGAGCAGAAATATCAAATGTTTTTTTAAAGATTACCTATCAAACACATAATTGAGAAAATCCAAAAATCATGTTCACCTCTTTCCCACAAGCTGCAGCAGAGAGCCCTTCTTTTAAATTCTATCATTATCATTATCTAAGACTTCTAAAGCTAGTTCTCACTCCAAATAATTTTTTTCCTATTAGCAATCAATTATCTCACAGGTGAAAAGCTGCCTTCTCTGAAGAAGACCACAACAACTATGTAAGAGCAAACCTAGTAACATATAGCAGGTCAGAAAGAAATTGAGCAAGTACATGGTGCCTTGCTGAAATGACAATGAATCACAGTTTGATATAGGAGAGAAAATTTGTGGCTTCTGAGGATTCACTCTTTGTAAGCGGAGTTGTTTCTTTACAAATCTGACAGATAAATAAACTTGCTCTTTCTGAGCTAGCTCCTCAGGGCCCAGACATTAGGATGCCCACTCCTCAGTTATGGCTGAGGCACAACAGCTCTGCTATTTTGGAGGACAGCAGCTTTAGTCTGAGTAGGTAACACAGACTTTAGGCATTCCCATAGTTCCTTCTCCTTTCTCATACCTTGATGTACATAATGGCTCCAAACACTTTCCAACAAGTCTTATTCTAAGCGAGTAGCAGCGGTTCCCAAGAACAGTTACGACAGCAGCCAGCACTTTAAAAACATGTGTCACCTCCTTTTCTTTACAGGGAAACTTTGGTTCAGTAAGCAATAAAATATTTTGCACAACTTAAAGCCCCCTAAAGATAATGTTAATAATAAAACCTGTTCTAATGAAAGTCTACATGCTCTCTGAAGCAAACTTAAGGTGCAGAAATTATATTTAAACAGATGGCCTTAGGTAGTTAACAGCAGCTTAGTGAGGCAAATTAAAAGCAGTTCATTACTTGTTAGACCTCTCCCCTTTGTTCCTTAATTGTACCATTGTCTTTCTTGGCAATGAGCAGGAATAAAGAAAGAAGCCAAGCATTGTTGAAAAGCAACACACTGCCTCAGAGCTGACACTGCAGTCACAGCCATCGGATCTGACAGGAGCCACTTCCCCTTCCCAACCTGTATCATGTGCTATTCTACTTCCTTGGCATCCAGCCAGTTTGCACATACATACATTAAACATCTGTTTGCACTAACATTTTAAAGCACTTCTTTTTTTCCAACAGCAACATTTTTCAACTATTCTGTAGAAGACTGGGAGGGAAAGGAAGCAACTATTGCTTTAAATAGAAAAACAATGTCACCTGTGTGCTAGTTTGGAGGGAGAAGTTTGACATGGTTAAAGAAAAAAAATTCATTTTGCATATATAGTTGCTTCCTATGCAAAAGTATATAGCATAGTATATAGTGTATTTATAGAATATAAAATTTCTTTCTTCTGCCGCAGCTCCAGCAGAGCTTCATACAACTCGTTCTTTGAGGCTGTGGATACAGCATAAAATTTGTGTTTGTGCTCACACAAGACATAAGCATTACCTAACTTCTGCTGTACATGTAAGCATAGGTAAGTAGTGCAAAGCTGTCAAATAATTTCCTCCCACATTCTGTAGTTGATGTTTCACTTACCAAATACCTTCTAATCTTAAGGATATCATTTGATACTTGGCTTTTTAAAACCCCATTGATAATCTACAGCTACTAGTTCAAAACAATGTGAAATCAATGTAAACTGTATATCAAAGCTTATATCACAGCTCTTTTATGAACAGTGATTACTACTGCGTTTGAGAGGCCCACAGGAAGTTAAATGCCACTATATAAAGTAGATTGTAT